CCCCCCAACAATTCTCCCCCCTCCTTTGAGAACCACTGCTACAAGCTAAATTCTCTGTTAAAAAAAACAGTAACTGTAATGCTTGAGTATTACAGTAAATTCAACAGACTCCCATTTTAATTGACCTGATAAGATTAAGATACCTCTAAATTTAGGAGTTGTTGGTTTTAAAGGTTTACCACTAAAACAGAAGCATACAGAAAAGTCGTGACAAAAGAGAGCCTCTGAGATGAACAGCATAGTGATGACAATTCAAAGTCCTCCCTCTTTTATGCTGTGATCTAGTTAACAAAATAATGAGTTTGAATAAAGTAGTGGGGTCTCCAGAAGTCTGTACTGCAGTTAGAAGTCATTAAATGCTCTTCTGAACATTTTCAGAAACTCACTTGCAGTTGTGACTAACCTGAAAAGTAGTAATACATAGTAAGACCCCTGAAATTACCCTTCACTTCTGTGCAGACTAGCCAGCCTAGATGTAAACTTCTTAACTTTTTATCAGTTCTGGTAACAAGACATCTGCCATGCTTGTGCAGCACTTCATAGTGTCAGGTATCTAGAATCATAGAGTTGGAAGGGCCATCCAGTCAAACCCCTTGCTATGCAGGAATATACAATTTGAAACTACTAGAAAAGTCAGTCATTCATGCTAAAAATTGTGAATGTTGTCTTGTACAGTCACAGTTCTTGGATTTAGAAAATACAATATATTTCCATTAAACATGGCATACCTACTACTATTTATTGGGTTTTCAGCCTACTAGGCTCAAAGCAACAACAGCAATGAACCCTTGACTGAGCATTTAGAAACACCAAGGAAATATTATTAAACTGGCTAACAAATCTCTTCCAGCCCAGTTAGAACCCAAGTACAGACTATTTCATGCCAGGGTGAGAAGGAAAACATTTGAAAATGAACTAAGTGTCTCCTGAGAAAGGAATCTACCAGTGTACTCTGGAGTGGAAATTCAAGTAAGTGTTTTCCTACCTTTTTTTTTTCCACATAAGAACTATCATTCCTCAGAACACTATACTAGACAACAAACTGTACAATCCCTTCCCTATGTCAAGTCTGGGAAGGTTTATCCCACCATTCTAAACCCCTAAGAACAGGCCAAGGTTTTTCCAAAAGCAAAATAGATGTACTTATAATCAGTAGCTTTTTTAGGAGCATATATTTCATATGGAAATTAGGAATTTGGGCAGTGACAGCTGATCACATGGCTGCATCCTGTCCATCTGCAGCTGGCGTGGGAACTGGTGTCAGTAGGAAGACTGCAGCAGATAATGTCCAGCAGCTGTCAAGTGGCTGGCAAGCAAAGAGATTTCAAATACAGAAAGAAGACAACAACAAAAAAGGTGGCCTCTGGGAAGCCAGTTTGTACTAAGAGTTCAGGGTGCTAAAAAGTGTACCTAGTTCAAGGAAATATCCTGAAGGACCTTGTTCAGTGATTCAGTTTGTCTCTTGGTCATATTCTCTAGCACCCTAAATATGATACGCAGAATATCTCAGCTGTAAGCAAGAAGCTTAAGCCTGATTTCCGAGTAAAACCCAATGATTATAATACACCCAGAATCTTCCAGATTGATTGAAAGTTTATCTGACAGGGTTATATTAAGAGCAAGAGTTTTTGAATAATTGCACTAGGGCTGGAGTGGACAACACTAAGATACATGCATCTGGACCATTGAGGCTTTTCTTCAAGAAAAGCATCTCCCACTTCCAGGGTGAATCACTACAGAGAACAGAGAAATGTACAACTACATAGGCTACAGAATTAAATGGAAGCCTTAGTAGACCAATTTAGTTCGTGGTATTCATAATAATAATAATAATAATTTTTATATATATCCCGCCCCTCTGCTAGGCAATCGGGGCGGCTTACAGGATTTCAAAACATCAGAACAAATATAAAAAATAAATCAAATTTAAATCTCATCCCCCCCCTTCCCATACCCTCCCATCCCCCCAAAACAATAAACTAAGCAAGTGAAGTGACAATAATTAAAATATACAGTTTAAAAATACATAATTTTTTCAGTTTCAATATGATCTTCCGAGGGCTGCAGGCTAGTCAAAACAGTCCTCCACGGCTTGAGAATGCCGGCGGGAGATAGAATCAGGCAAGGGCTTTATGTCCACCGGGGCTCCTCCCCTGCTGCCCGCAGGTGCAGCAACTCAAGCCGCTCAGGTGGTCTTCCAATGGCTGCAGGACGTCCGAGACAGTCCTCCACGGCTTGAGAATTATTTCTCATATTATTTCTCATAGCACAGCAGCGGTGTGTGCACAGTTACCCTACAGGTTTTTGTGGGTTTTTCGGGCTATGAGGCCATGTTCTAGAAGAATGTATTCCTGATATTTCATCTGCATCTGTGGCTGGCATCTTCATTCTTCTAGAATACATTCTTCTAGAACACGGCCTCACAGCCCCAAAACCCCACAAATGCCAGCCATGAAAGCCTTTGACTTTACAGTTACCCTATAGTCAAACATAGTATCCATAGTATTTTAAAAATGGATTAATGGCTTTAGTCTAACCATAAAATACCTTCCTCTGTATAGAAGGTGCTAGACTATTTGACACATCCAGTAACTGATCCATAATCGTTCTTGATAGCAGATCCAGGCCACTTATTCAGTTGCAAGTGTTTTGAGATGGGAATAACAGCTAACAGTTTTAAGATTTGCTTTCTGATTTCATTTTTAGGCTTTACAACTGTTGAAGAATATGCTGGATTTACCTTTATACTGTTCAGTATCTTCTGATTCTAACAGAAGCCTACTTTTGAGGCACACAAATAAGATTACACCAGAATTTGATCTCACAATGAGAAGTGTTTCTGCCGAAGAAAGATAAAATAGTCCAGGGTGCTACAGCCCAAGAGCAAGTGTGTGGCAACAGGGATTGGCATGTGGCAGAATAGCAACAGGAGGCTTGGTGTAGGAAGAAGCAGGAGGTGTTCATTTGGGACTCAG